AGATCAGTACTCTGCTAGAACCTTGACCAACAGGCATGGATACATGCAAATGATACGTGAAACAGACAGTCACCTGGATGTGTAAGATCTAGTGTTTCACACCTCGATATCTGAGAAGCCTGCAGAATGCATTCCCTTCGCCAACGCGCTCGGTGTAGTGCGACCTGTGAGCTGACAGGGGTGCCTGCTTCAGGAGACTCTGTGACCGGGAGCGCCGCATGCGGCAAAGCTCTCGGGTGCCACACTGTCGGCTACCTGGCGCCCGAGTTGGATCCGTTCTCTGCGCGAGCGAGCGCTCTGCAGCCGGCCGGTGCCCAGCCTCGGGCCTCGCACTGCTCGCACCTCGGCAAAAAAGAGAGAGAGAGAGAGAGAATGGGTGGGGCGCATGCGGGGGGCGCATGCGGTGGGGGCACCGGCCTCGCGCTCGTCAGCAACCAGCTATCCAGCCTCCGTGCCCAGCCCGCCCCTTGTCCCGCTTTCTATGCTTTTCTCAGCCCCGCACTTCGGGCTGCAGCGCAGCAGGAAGGCGGCGCCGTCGGCGGGGCCCTGCCCCCAGAGCTCCAGAACTTGCAACAAGTCTTGCACTCCCCCAAAAACTCCTTCCGGAAAGGTCATCGGTGAAGCGGCCCATGCAAGCAGGAATCACATTGTCAGAGCTGCTCAGCTGAACAGGAACCCTGCAGCCTCCTCTTTCGGGAGGAAAATGTCAAAGCCGAGGCCTCTGAACACGGTGCGAGGGACTGAGACTCCCCCCAGAGACTGCACGCGTGTGCACCTTCAACGGGCACGGCCACGAGCAGCGTTTTGTTGTCCCTCATCAAGGTGAAGCGCCTGGAGCGAAGCCGCGAGACGGCGAAGCACTGCGCGTGTCCGCAGCGCCCACAACACCACGGGCCTCTCTTCGCAGAGGACGCTCAGCTGCTGGTCCTTCTCCTCAGACTCAGAGCCGATTCGAGCTCGCCCGCTCTTCCGCGCTCTTCCGCGGAGCCTCCGGCTCCGGTGCCTCGACGAAGCTGGAGGCGAGGCCAGGGCCTCGGCCCTGACAGAGCCGGCACAGGCCCCTTTTTTGCAGCCGCTCTTTTTCTCCCCCTCCTGCTCCAGGATGTCTGCCAGGTCGAAACCCAGGCAGCCGTTTGCACCTGCAAGCAACGTGGAGAGCCCCGGCCCAGAGCCCAGCCCCCTTGCTCACCTCGATCTTCCTTGCAAGGGCTCTTCTTCTCCTGCCATAAGACACCACAGCACCAAAACGAGCCGGGCCCGCAAAAACCAAAAAAAGAAAGTAATGGCCCCTCGACCCTCGCCCAAGCCAAAATCCCCGACTGACCGCCACAGGGCTGGCAGATAGAAGTCATGGTGCTTGTGGGTTGTTCGGGCCTTGGATGTCTTTGCTAAACTGCATGAACTGATGCAGTCTTCAATGCTTGGCAACGGCAATAGTATGCTGCGTTGCTGCAAATACGTCACACCAACCAAGTAATAAAAAAACATGCTACATTGACGTAAGATGTTGCTTTTGGCGACATTGAATTTAACAACTAGGGCGCGAAGCTTTTCGTCAACACTTCCGCTGTTTTGGCCCAGGGGTGCGAGGGGCAATTCCTATTAGCGTGTCCGAAGCGAACAGCCCGGGGCAGGCCTTGTTGAACGCGCTTCTCCACCAAGCATAGTCCTGGAAGAAGCAGAAGAAACAGCGAGGTATCCCCCACAACTTGACTCGCCCCCTGTGCCTGCAACTGTTGCTCCATCAACCCCATGGCCAACTAGCAAGGGACTCTGCCAAGAGCGGCGAATCTGATCCCCCTAAGGATAGAATTGTGCACGATGCTTCACTGTCTTGTTGTCCCCGTCCATGTCCGTTCTGCAAGGCAGGCATGTCTGAGGGCCACAAGCAGTGCAGTGCGAGGAGTAGCCTGCGCTAGCTCCTCTTAACAGGCGTGCTCCCTGGATGAAGCAAAATGTGGTGGCCTTCTTTGAGAGAGCAACTCATGCATGAATGAAGCGCGATGGCATGGCGATGATCGCCCTGTGAGACGAGTGCGAAGCACGGTGTCACATGGGTTTCGAAGACCCCGGTACTCAGCAAAGGGAAGGGACCAGCAGAGCTCCGCCCTTGCCGGGTCTTCCGCTCGCGTCATCCACCGGGAACTCACCCAAGCCTGCACGGCGGTGACGTGCCGATGGTGCTAATAGGGACTCACTAAGGCGCAGGCTCAGAAACCAACACCGCCAGCGGAATGGACCTCAGGCTCGCACTGCACACGAGCTTTGTGCAGACTCTGGGAGCGCGCAAGCGCGCGCGCAAGCGCGCCTGGCGGCAGTGTCGGACGTTTAGCGTCAGCCCTTCACCGGCTTCCAGTCCTCGGAGCGGAAGGGAAGAGGCGGAGAGAGCCTCAAAACCGAGAGCTCTCGCGGCGCTCCCTGGCCTTCATGTCCATGCTGGAGGCCGGCTGGCCCAGGAACTCCAGGCGGCTCACCCTCTTTGCGAGACACACAAGACGCAACGCGCCCGCCCCCCGCCCTCTCTCCCACCTCGTCACAGGGGCCCCGAAGTTCTCCTGCCAAGAAGCCGGTGGATGAGCATTTCGCAGCCTTCTTGCAGCCCTCTTGCGGGCTCAACAGTCCTGAAAGAAGATCTGCAAGCTAGACACCTCACAAACTAGATCTATAGAAGCCTGAAAGCCTGCTTCTTGGGCAGACGCACCTACTGAGCTCCGGGCATTTTGGAACTTTACGAAACGAAGCTGACAGGCCTCGCCGCCGTCAACATTCTCAGGACCTAGGGTGAGCTCCTCACAGGTTTACTCCACGGAACATCCCTCCCTCCAGAAATCATTCGTAGCCGTCCTGCACGGCTTCTTCGTCTGCATCTTCGAAGCCCATGTTCACCTCGGCAAAGCTGTCAGCACTTACGACATTGGAAGCTTAGAAGGCTTTCAAGGGGGGCCTTGTCCAGGAAGAGCTTCACGGCCTCGCAGAGCGGAGCAGAGCGGTTTGGGAGAGAGAGCTCTGGCTCTCAGCTAGGTGTCTCTACACTTGCGCGACGCACACGCGACGGAGCGAAGGGCCTGTGGTGCCGTGCCGTCCTCTCTGGCGCGAATTCAGAAGAGTCGTGTCAGTGGGCGCCCACACGCCCGCCCCCGTCCGCGGCTCCTCGGAAGAGCCCAGAATCCGCACGCTCTGGAGCTTCACCGGCACCCGGAACTGCACCTCGCGTGTCCCCCCAAACTCCTGGGGGGACTGAGTCGGACTCCGGCCTTGAGCAGGAGCTGATGGTCTGTGTTCTCGTCCGAGCGGAGGGCCGTGTCCGGACTGGGGTCCAAAATGTTGAGCACCGGGTGCTCCTCCGTCAGACTTTCCCCCTTTCCCCCATTTCCCCCTGTCCCTTCCCGTCCTTGTCTTCGTTGAGGCACTCCAGCTGGCCCTTCTCAACAAACTCGTCCAGGCTTGCCACCACGGCCTCAGGCAGAGAGGCCCAAAGGAGACCGCGGGGGGCGGGCCCAGGGCATTAGGGCCTTAGGGCCTAGGGTCTTCTCAGGCGAAAGCCATGGCCAGCTTTCCCCTCGCCGCCAAGGGCGCCGGACTTCCCCAAAACTGAAGCTAGAGCTGCAGCAAAGAAGCAAACCTGCGGCCTGCGGGCCTCAACAAGTGAATCTCACTGCCCTCGTACTCGCGGAACAGTTTTCGAGGTTCACGCCGGCATGCTCACGCGAGGTCTTTTTCCAGGATTCTAGGAGCGGCCTTTGATCACCGGCATCCTCTCCCAAAGGCCCGGTCGCTTCACCTCACCCTCACGAATCTTCACATCGCAGATGCGAAACAATGGGCAGTGAGAGTCGTCCAACCTGAGGAATTCACAGTAGCTGACTTCTGCAAATCATGAAAATCCCGCATTGAGATGAGCAGCCGCATGAACTTTCGCCACATTCGTGAACAAGCCTCACGCATCTTTTCCACATCACCATGGGTGACGTGCTTTCCACACTCGGGGCAATAAGCGTTCTGCTGGAACTTCACCATTGGAGCAACTTGCTTGCGAATTTCCGTGGAGAAGAGCCCGGATTGCAGCCTCCTTGGTTGGCAAGAATAACAACCGAAAGTGCTAACTTTATCTGGGCGTGGTCCTTAAGTCCGTCGAAACAAGCTTGACCCGTTGGCTACTTGGCTTCGTTGGACACTGATCTTGGGCATGAATAAACATTCGTTAGTTACTGAACTTCTGCAGGGTTCAAGGGGCTTTTGTGACGCAGTAACAGCCTGGTCATCATGGCATGACTATCTCCATGGCCGCACAAGGCGCAACCGCGACAGTGGCATACCCGCAGCACACTTGCAAATCAATTGCATCATGCGAGACATCAGATGGATGATACTCTGGCCAAGCTTGTCTTTGGCGAAATGAGATTCATCTTGTACAACTGTGAACCCACTGCGAAATCGTACGAAACACAACGGCAAGTAGGATGTGCATGGTGTTTCCGTCTGTTCAGTTCAGTGCACAAAACGGGAACGTTGCTTTGAAGGATGCAGATACAGCTGTTTGTCATACATGTCCGGAACCCAAACGAATTTCGAACTCTACCACGGTTCCTGAATGTTAACCATCAGACAACGTCACAACGTCCTAAATCAGGATCAACAATTGTTTGATCGGAAGAGGGTGCTGCGCATAATATTCGCCTCGGCCCGCGAGGCGGACTCTGCGAAAATGGGGTTGGTGCCAACCCATCCTGATTTGCGCACCTCCCACCNNCCCCCCCCCCCCCCCCCGCCCCTCTCTTCTGTCTGCAGTAGTTAAAGTTTACAAATTTCGACGCCTTCAGGCTGATTCGTGCTTACAGCAATGACATGACCTCATACTCGCAAGTATGTATACATCCGTTCAAGTGGTTTGCTACCAATCCACTGAGCTTTGCCTCCGAAGTACAAAAGCAATACTGCGTCCGTGCCAGCATGCATTATTTCCTAAGCACTGTGAAACCAAACATCAACAAGGAATATGTAGACAATCATACTTATACTTAGAAAGATATATGAAACATTCCATGATAACGAAAAAGAAGGGGCTCCGATTTTTTCAATTGCAGCCAAGGTTTTAGGATAGGCCCCACCTTTCCTTTCTACCCATTCTACCCCTCAAGTAGGCCGCGAGCCCAGGGATGGGGGGTGGGACAACACTTTGCTTGCTCAGCTTGAAGATGCATGCACGGACAGAGAGATCACGCACACAACCACTCAACAGAGGAAAGTTTAAAACTTTAAAATGTGCTTGCTAATTTCGTATGAAGATAAAGGCTTTTTCCATGTTAGAGGAGTTCGTCCTCATCAACCGACGAAATTTCGTCAGAGATGAAATTACGCAACCACAAAGCCCGTGCACTTAGCTCTCCTTTTTATTCCTAGAAAGCGGTGGGGTGCATCCACGTCCGTGCAACGGACCGTCAATGTCTGTACAACGGACTGTCGATGTCCACACAATGGACCTTCGACACAGGTGGCCATTGGATGTAAGGCGATCGACTCGATCACCCCGCGACACTGAATGTTCTTCGCCAAACGAAGTTGGCAAACACCAAAATCCCAGGGCTGTAAACAACTGGATTTCGGGACGGTGCAAGGCCTGGGCGCCCGAATCAAGGCTGACGAGCATCACTGTATTCGGTTGTTTAGGAAAAAACCCCAGAACCGGTGCACAACATCCCGTGACAAATGTTGCAACTATAGATTGTGAACCGTATCCAGTAGTGCTCAAGCTCTGATCGTCAAGAATGCAAAAAACAAATTTCGCGAGGCCTTTAGAGCTTCCCACTCCGGCGGGCTAAGTTTGAAGGCTTTAGCTTTAGTTCCATAAAGCAGCATGCCTCGTATCGGCGATTATCGGCGGTGACTCCAGCAACTATGAAAGTCTTAAACCAAACTTTCAGGTTACCGGACGGTCGTTCACTTTTCTCTTTGATGGCACTTGGCTGGCTAGGTCTCCTTGAGCCTAAATATGAACGGAGTGAATTGGCTCTAAATTGGGCTCTACAGGAAATTGAAATGTTTGTCACGCCCTCTCGGATCATTCTGGCTTTCCAGACTCAACCGACTTCCAACATTCATCTACTTCACTTCTCGCAAGCTCCTTCGAGCGCCTCACTTGTCACACGCTCCATTGAGCTTTCACCTTCCATATCCACTCCACTTCCTTTCAGTCTTCTCCTTTGTGTTTGTCGTGGATGTCGCCAGTCCTGTAAGGAAAGTTCCGTGAAACATCTATTGGCTTCGGCTTCACTCTGATTACTTTCCGACACCATAGACATGCAATCACTCACTTCTTCATCGCGTCAGTACTCGCTGCCGTCAATGTAGCCAATGTTTCGGCTTTGAACTCACGCCTCGTTTCGGCTTTTCGCCTTTTTGCTAAAGAAAAACTCAAAACCAAATCATGCCAAATCATGCCAAGCGTTGGACGAAAGCTCAAGCTATAAATGTTCAATCAATATATTTGCAGTAAGTACAAGTTGACAGGTCACACGCTCTCGCTCTTTTTCACAGGGGCGAACTGGGTTGCCCGGCCTTAGGCCGCGGGCTAGGCGCTCGAAGCAACAGGCTGTTTACCCGCTACCAACTGACTAAGTGGAGCACGGCTGTGCTCGGTGAGTAGCGAAGGCGCGAAAGCGCCGCAGGAAGAGCTGTCAAGCTCGCACAAGCTGGAGTCCAACGTTGAAGCTTGCAAGTGTCTCGACGGGTGTGGAGGGTGGGTAGTCGAGACCCGGCTTCCCACCTTGAAGCGCAATGTTGCAAGAGACTGGTCTGGAGCATCAAGAAAATCTTTCAAGCAAAAGACGACACCTACATTGCTTAAGGTGGGGAAGGCAGCACACGGGTTAAGGCATTAGGGTTCTTGAGTTTTCTTCGCTCGCCACCACAGTGGCTCGTCAAGTCGCAAAAAGGTACTAGCTGGCATCGCTGCGCTCGTCAGCAAAGGTACTTTTTGCTAAAGAAAAACTCAAAACCAAATCATGCCAAATCATGCCAAGCGTTGGACGAAAGCTCAAGCTATAAATGTTCAATCAATATATTTGCAGTAAGTACAAGTTGACAGGTCACACGCTCTCGCTCTTTTTCACAGGGGCGAACTGGGTTGCCCGGCCTCCCCAGCAAGAAGCAGCCCAGCTTCGTCCCGACTTACAAGTCTCGCAACGCCACCCCTGAGAGTGGACAAGTGCACCTGACCCGTACAGATCCCGATTCAAGAAGCTCAAGCACCTTCCCACGCGAAGGATCATCGGAAGGATTTGACGCCGAGGGCACACGAGCCCAGTAAGACCACGAATGGCCGTGTTTCTCGCAAGACTCCCAAGAGAGGAGCAGCTCACGAAAAATCTCACTCTTCGAGTTGCCACGAATGAAGCTCATCAGCACTGCATCGTTATCTACGAAGAAAATGCAAAATTTTCCCGACACATACTTATGGAAGACCAATCGCGCCACGGAAAGCGCGTATGCCTCCACGGGCCCTATGATGTGCTTCAAGTGTTGAGACCACTGGCGCGTCAGGGCCGAAGGGACCTCGCAAGCAAAGAATCGAGACTGCTCATCGCCAGGGAGATACACGACTCTTCCAACGGTGTGGCCAGTGGTCTCGCTGGCACCATCAGTAAAAATCAGAACCGGTTTCGGGGCAACCAAACACGGGACTACGCGAGGGGCGCCGAAGGACAAGCGGTCCACTAGGAATTCAAAGGCGCACCTCCTTAGGGCCTAAGGGGAACCTAGTGGCATGGCTCATGGACGCGGCCCGCAGCTCAGACAAGGCCAACTTGCCAGCTCGGCCCATCACTTGCGCATCGGACAACTGCACCCTACCTGCCACTCTGGCGAAATCACGAAGCTTAATGCACCCATCGGAGATGCAGGCACGAATGACCTCGCACACCTCACTGGAACGACCCTCCTTGTTTTTGATGCGGATGACGCCTTCCTCGGCGGAGCCTAGATCCACCTCAACTCCCAACATCGTGGCGATGTGAGAGAAAGGACTAAGCTTATCAACCGATGCCGAAAAACCAAGCAACGAAGACAAGATTAACAGGGTATCCATGGATGACTTGGCCAAGCACGCGGGACTCATTACCGGGTAATCGTCCACGAAGTTAACCCAAAACAAGTGAACCTCTAGCCCTAATCTCCAAAAGAGCCTAGCCAAACGGTTAAAGTGCACGACAGATGCAGTACTGCCAAAAGGCAGCGCCTTCCCTTCGAAGAGTCCAAGCTCCGCACTGCTCGGGTCGAGCAGCGCCACAACAGAGAAGGCGCGACTGTTAGGATCCAATGCAAACTGCCGGTAAGCATTGTGTAAATCAAAAGTGCACAACTTTGGGAGCCACGAGTCTCCCTTCCAAGCAGGATGAACGCGACCGACCAACGGGGGGCCGGCCTCCATGTCAAGAAAGAACTGATGCTGCGAGGTGTGCGCACGGATCCAAAACCTGCAAATGGCGATGATCTCATCTAGTGCCCGCAAATCAAGCTTGTCGCCGTAAGAGAATGACCCGTTAACCAAATTTTTTTTTTTCACAAGCAGCGGCCCCTGTGGTCGCCTAGCTCAGGCTCTACAGGTTTTCAACCCGGTGTCTCGAGGACACTTAGCCCCTAGCACTGGCAGCCAGTGCAAGAAAAGCGAATGCCCAAGCGACATGTGCACGGCAACTAGAACTAGAACTACCGAAGCGGAAACTAAAGTAAAAGAGTTGGCAAGACTTCACAGCCGAAAGCCATAAAGGCGGCGGCGGAGCGTGGCGCTCCAGCTACAGCTACAACTAGTGCGGTCCGACACCGAGGATGCAGGGGGCGTCCTGTTAATTTTCACGAGGCCTGGTCTA